TCCGTCAATTGTTCTTACATAAACACAATTGACGGATTCAACCCTTTTCACCAGAATTCTTCATTTTCATCGTTGAAATGGAGAGTTCTGGTGAAAAGGGTTGAATCCGTCAATTGTGTTTATGTAAGAACAATGTGTTGAGATTTGCCCTAATCGGACTTAGAATATGAGCTCACCGAGCGGGTTCGTCGATTAATTCGGTGTAGAGTTCGGAATTCCGGGCAGTGAGGCTCTTGGAGAAGGTTGCTTTGATTGGTATGTCTTACGTTAGATCGCCGAAATAATCGTACATCTGTATTCCGATTATCAAATTTCCGCCGCCTCGTCCGTCGTGAAATTTGTGGGTTACAACCAATTTTTGTGATGGTGTCTTACATAAATACTGAATGTTTGAGTTCGGAATTCCGGACGTTTGATTTTGTGTTGTAATGAATTATTGTCAAAGGGTTTTAATTGTAAAAATGCTCCTTGTACAAGCTTGACTTGTTAGATCAATGGACAACATCGTGGATTCGTTGAGCAATGCATATGAGAAGTTTGTTCTTGCCTCGGCTAATGTTCTTGAAGCCAAGGAGATAGCGGGCGGGCAGAAAGCCACGGCCACAGATGCTGCATTGGAGAATTTCAAGGAGAATTGGGAACTTTTCCGCATAGCTTGTGATCAAGCCGAGGAGTTTGTGGAGTCAGTGAAGCAAAGAATAGGATCAGAATGCTTGGTGGATGAGGCAACTGGTTTTATGGGTTCATCAGGAAACTCGGGTCAGTCTTCTGCTGCTACAACGAGTCTTCAACCCATCAGTGCAGTAAGGTTGGAGCAGATGAGTAAAGCAGTTCGGTGGCTAGTGCTCGAGCTTCAGCATGGCTCCGGTGGTTCTGGGCATTCTCATTCTTCTACAGGGTTTGACACCAAGTTCTCAGAAGATTCTGCTCAATAGGTATATGCTTTTCTTCCACATAACTGCGAGTCATTTAGTTTTTTGTTTGCGTTGATGCTTCTGGGAAGAGTAGTATAATAACTATGATGTTCTTTTTAGCACAATGGTTAAGAAAGAAAACCGATCTGTCTTAGCGTAGTTTTCCATCTACATAGCTAGTATTTCAGCAGAACTTGATCGAGCAAGAATCAAACTTTACAATCCGGGTGTCAGACAAATCTTGCCCATGTCTTCTAAAACTCGTTTATATAGCGCCTTTGTTGCCTCTTGATTTCGTTTTTTTTTTCTCTTTTTCAGGTCTAAGTTACAAATCTAATGCAAAAAGACAGTACCAGTCTCTGTGAATTCGGTTGTGCTTAAAGTATCTGCACATTGTCTGCAAGAAGTAGACTGATTTTGAGTTGAGGGCTTTTAGAGCATGTAGAGGCCATGTATCTTTTGGTGTTGCTAAATGCAATCTATAGCTAATGGAATATGTATGGTCTTTTGTCAAGTTCTCGACTAAAATGGTAGCATGTTTCCTTCCTCGTTATTTAATATCATGGTCTTATACCCTGAACCAGAAACTCTGCAATGTGAATATCAAAACCACAAATAGCAACATACCATAGTTTTAAGTTGAACCCAGACCAGACCGGTTAGTATGACTTGGTATCGTGTGTACCGGTTTTCTGGGCGGTTTGACCGGTATATGATCGGGAAAAGCTGGCAAAAACCACGGAACGATTACAAATCTCCTTTGGATCGTACGCTTGTGCAATAGAGTAATAGTACAGTGAAATGCAAGCAAGTCTTCTCCTTTCCGACCAACAAAAGTCCCTCTTCTGTGATCTCTCTATCTCTCTCCCTCCCCGGCGAAGGAAAGGTTGTTGGATTGCGGTGAGTGGGTTCTTCGCCGGTTGAGCCAAGAACCTTGATCAGAGTCTTGTTTTCTCCTTCTGCCCCCAATTTCATCTTTGAATCAGGTACGGTTTTTGTGTCTATCACAGGAAAAAAAAAAGTCCCGATCTTTAGTGTAGATTCCTATTGATTAACGGGAACTCTCTTCTCTTTCGTATTCCCAAGACTTCGTCTCTGCTCTTCCGTTTCCTTTGACTTCCCTGTTCTTGTGTCTGCGTTTTTCATCGTTCTCTATTTTCCGGTAAATTCCCCTTTCAGGCTTTCTTCTGCCTAAACCCAATTCCTCGATTTGTCGTCGTTGATTGGCTGTTTTCTTCGGACTGAGGTCCTGGCTAATGCTCAACTATACTCTAATTGATGTTAAAACCTGAATTTTTATGCTTCGTTTTTCTTGGGTTTCTCTTGAAACGCAGATTCATGGATTTGAATGAAGGGATTGAGCTTCTGAGTTCTTGGATTGGTCATGTGAGCTTCTCACGGAGGCTATAGAGTTCTCAAGCTTGGCCTTTTTTCGTGTTGGAATATGAGTGTGATTGTTCGGAATCATTGAACTTTACAAATTTATTGTACTCACGCATTGCATTGTCTGATTGATTTCATTTGTTATGCTTTTATCAGATTGAAAATCTTGGTCTTCACCTGCTATGGCGATTCCTACACATTGTTGTGAGCTTTTGGTACATAATTTCGGGCATAGTTGAGACAATTGAGAGCTATCTCATATCAGTAGGGCTAATAAGAATGTACCATTCCATCAATGTGGACAAACTCCGGTATCTAGCAATTGTAGTCGAAAGTGAAGAAGCTCGCGAAATTTCAAAGGTTGTTGAGCTTTTGCAGTGGCTGACGGCAATTGGGGTCAGGCGAGTTTGCCTCTTCGATTCACAAGGTAGATTCTTTTTTTTTTATCGACGTAATTATATGCTGGTGTGCAAGTTTATGTTCTATTGCCTTTGAAGAACTTTTCTTTAGGTTTATTGAAGAAATCCAAGGGCTTGATCTTGGGAACCATTGCATGTTCGAAACTATTAGAGGTAAGTAGCTATTCTACTTATGGCTTTTTCATGGCAGTTCCCTGGAATCTTTCAGCCTGTTAAAAGATGGTTTGTGAGAAAGATTCTCACAATTTTACGGGGTTTAGATGGCAATCTACCTTTTTTATTTGTTTTTCGTTGTTCTTAGGAGAAGGATTCTTTCACTAACCAAAAGGGTATCGCTTTAGAGTTCATTTCATCTTCTGACAACAAAGATGCTGTTGCAAAAGCCGCAAGCATACTTCTTCAGAGATGTTTGAAATCTAACCATTCGGGTAACGGGAAGGGAGAGAACAGTTTCACCGAAGCTCGCTTGAACGAAGCATTAAAAACCATCGGTCTGTAATACTACTCAGAGATTGATTTCTTGAGGGGTTTTATTAAATTTTACGCAAACTTATGTTCTAAGCACTGACAGGCGATAGCGGGCCCGAACCAGATCTAATGCTAGTTTACGGGCCGGTGAGGTGTCACCTCGGTTTTCCTGCTTGGAGAATGCAGTATACAGAGATTGTGTATGTATTCAGATTGACCCTTGTTGATTTATGATCTACTTTGACACATTCACCTGATGGATATATATATATATATATATATGGGTATATATTTACGTGAATCACGGTCTCGTTCTTTGTTTTTGTTTCTGATTATTGTTGATAGACATATGGGATCTCTCAAGTCTATGAAATATGGTTCTCTTGTAAAAGCAATTCACAAGTTCACAAGGGTACGCCAAAACTATGGTGAGTGTCTCATCCTCCCTTGTCAAATAACCCCATATATATATATATATATATATAGGCTCTTCCATGCATATGCACATTATACAGAAAACATTCAACATTAGATGGCATCAAACTCTGGTTTCTGTTGGTAAACAAGACAGAACAAAAGGGTAATGGCTCTGAAGTTTATGATGGAAGAATAGGTAGAAAATGTTCATACTTTAGCCTGGATTGAATCATCCTTTCCCATATCGTCGTTTGAACTCGAGAGACAAACTCCACATTGGTTCTGTCTACCGAATCATTGTCTTTGATATTGGTTTTGTTCTGACAGGGGCATGAAGCGTAACGTATCGAGAACACTTCCAGATGCCGAGCTTTGAAGCTAATCATCTGGAGTGGCCGCCGTTGTTGTCGGAGAAAGCTCAGATGATTGTGCTTTACTGACACATTAGTTTACAGATGTGCTACTAGCTACAAGTGTGTTAACCGGACTAAACCGATTGAGTTTTTCTTTGAGTTCTGATCAATATAGGAACTCCGAGTATATATCAGAGTTTTCCTGATCTGTTCCCATTGCTCGACATTCTATCCGACAAGGTGAAAGCTGTCCGGAGAATGCGGGACCAAATTCCCTCCGGTCAAGGTGAACCCAAAAAGGGCATATTCGGTGTTTCGTTAGATTTTTATTTTCAATCGTTATTCGCTATTGGTTTTGTTTGATGGAAGAAGACAGACGACAATTCCATCAACGAAGACGGAAAATTCGACGGCCGGAAATCGAGGCCTTCGTTGCTAAGATGGAGCAGCAGCCAATTGGTTATTATATTATATTCGGTTCAGTTTTGGTTTTTATTAAAAAATTCTGTTTTTCGGATTTTTTTAAATTTCAGTTTGATTCACTTAGTTTTTGGAAAAATTCAATTTTTCTAACATTAATATCATTTAAAAATTTTAAACGGTTCGGATCGAAAAGAATATTACATTTACCTGAACAAGATAAGAAAGATAGAACTAAGTGTAACGTGTTCATTGCACACATACACATATCTTATACATATATATATATACACGTATACATGTACATGCTCATACATCCATACACGCACATATATATCTTTTTGATGCAAATCATCTTCTCTGTTTCATCTAATACAATCCCATGATTTGTCTACAGACGCAACAAAGAAACCTTCGGGCCTATGAATGAACGTGGAATACGTTTGCGCTGTTGACAATTTTTTATGGGCCACAAGCTTTTAGGCCTTCAATTTGGATAATGGGTTTACAAAATGCTGTATTCCTCGTCAATTGAATGCATATGGCTGTCTATATACAAAGAAAAAAAGCTTGGTTTTTGTTTTTTGCTCTTAAAATATGGAAATACTGTTAAAAAAACCCCATTTTTTTATGGTATATCGGTTGATTGGATTCGATCATAATACATAAGGGGTTTTTCAGATTTACTTGGACTAATCTAATTAAATGTTGATCTTGAAAAATTAATGATTGGACCGTTACTAATAACACCTTTAAAAAATCATAAAACTTTTTTTTTTAATAAAAGGTGTTTGAAAGATTCCAAAGGCAAAGTGTTTTGCTTTGCAAGGTGGAAACGAACTAACTTGAGTTGGCAAGTCTATTCACGACAAGACCAAATATCAATATTTTACAAATTAAAAAAATATATAAAGACACCGAAAAAAAAAAAAGAGAAAGACAGACCATCCACCACTATTACTCTCTCCTCCTTTCCCCTCTTTCACTTTGCTCAATCGAAATCTCCTCTCTTCACAAGGAAGGTGCTCTCATCACCGTCTTCTTACGAACCAAAGGTAGGTTTCCTCTTCCCCTATCTCTCTCTTCCATTCTTATTCCCTCTTTCTTGTTTTTCAGTTGTATATCGTATAATGAATGATTCATATTATATATATATCGAAGCGAAATTATAGTTGTTCATGTTATGATTGCCATTATTATAAGGTAAGGTCTTTGATCTGGAACTTGAGAGTTTTTTACTCAGTCGAGTCGGGTAGGGGAAATGGCGAGTGAAGCTCCGAGTTGGGCAGATCAATGGGGAGCCGGAGGGTTTGGGGCGATGCCGGAGGAGGAAAACCCTAATGCAAAGAAAGACGCCGCCGCCGGCAAAAACTCCGGCGTGGCCAAATCTGGAATCAACAGAGCAAAGATCGTTGCTTTTATTGGAGTCAAATGGATCAAGAATCTTGTCCACATGAAGAAGAAGAAGAAGGATTCAACTTCTTGAACCCACCACCCAAAAAAAAAACTTTTTTTTTATTTGTTTACAGTTTTGTATGATGCATCCCACGACTAAGAGTTTGACCTTGTTCTATTTGACATGGCTCCAATTTTCCATTACTCCCCAAATCGATCTTCAGTCCCCCCCTCTCTCTCTCTCTCTCTCTCTCTATATATATATATATATATATATATATATTCTTTCTGGCATCTAAAATACATAGAAATTCGAGCTACTTACAGGATCTGAATATTCGAGCTACGAAGCAGAAGGCTTGCAACGCACTTTGAAGGTTTGCACAATTTAACACAGATCATCAGTTCGTGGGCATCTATATGTGTTGAGAAATAAATAATATTAATATATTACTTATTACACATATTTAATTGCTAATCTTTGTTGATTTGTAAACACAACAATAAAGTATGTTTATTCTCATTGAAACATATCTAGGGGTTGATTTGTTCAGTAGATCTATGAGTGTTGCAAAAACTATCTTCAGACACAGAATCTAAGTGTTGGGATCCGATCTGGCCTGGTCTGAGACATTCACCGATCTCGCCATCTTCATCAACCCTTCCCCTCTTCTCATACTTGTCTCCCCAAACCCATCTCTCTTCACCTTCACCAACTCCTCGAACTCTGAAGCGATCTGATTCATCTCTTCGTATTTTTCTTGCAACGCAAGTTTCGCATCAACGAGCTTCATTTTCACCCGTTCCTCTCTCCATACTTCCGCCATCTGTAACATCTGTCTCTCTTCTTCGGTTTCATCCCTATACCTGTTCATCTTTCCACTCAATGCTTCGATTCTCCTCATCAGCTCTTTGCATAGCTCTTCGATCGCTTCTCTTTCCTTCTCTCGTCTTTTCAGCAACGATTCTGAATCCGATACCTTCTTCAACAGCATTGAATTCACTGCCTCAGCTCGTCTCCGCTGCTTTCTCTCACGGTTTAACTTGTGCCGCAAGTAATCTACACCGTGTTCGTTGCTGCCCCGTCCTTGTTTTTTCTGTAGGAGCTTAATCTTTTCTTCTGATAAAATCTTGTCGGTCTCGAGCTCTTTGATGCGAAGCTGAGATTTCCATAGCTCGGTTAGAAGATGGGAAGCGACGTTCGTGCTTTGAGGCTCGTCTTCTACGATATTCTCGGTAGCTTCAACGGAGTTATACGTTGACGGCGATCTCAAATCCCACTTTGTCACACTCTCCATCTGCGAGATTGCGATTCAGATTAGGGTTTCCGATGAAATATTCAGTTCTTGAACTGTCATGGGCACTTTCCAGTTTCCAATACATATATGTTCTCAAATCTCAAGCATAAGATTCTTGAATTTAGATTTCTAGTGGCCACCTAACGAGGAAACGATCAGACGGACCTGAAAGCTGGCAAACGAGACTTCTGGTTGGAACGGAGGCTTTCGAAGCCTCGCTGCAAGTTTTCTCGCGGAAACCTGGGATTCCTCGGATTCGGGTTTAGGCGAGGGAAGATCAGATGACAGCGGACGGTGGCTCCGATGGCCGGAATATGCGAATGCGACGGATATGGGTTTCCGGCGATGACGAGAAATAATGCTCATAAGGGAAAGGGGTATGACGAGATTCGGAAATGAGCATTTTTCAGAGGTATATGTATACATATACGCGTTATACATTGAATCTAGCGATAAGGCAGAATCTGAAATCATTTAAAATATTGATTTGTTACCAGATTTCGCATATATTATTTACATGTAAAATATATTATATGGTTTACCACATTATATATCAAAAGAAACCGCTTCTTGTTTTTAGAGTTACATATATCATTTTGGTTTATTTTTATTCACTTCCACACACAACTTAAATATCCAAAAAGTTTGAGTTTGTCTCTCATTGTGATAAAATTAAAAGTTGCAAAATATTTCATTAAACTTCTCTAATAATATAGATTCTTTTATGTTTTGGTTTTCAACTCGACACAAAAATAATATTTTTTAGTGATTTTAAAACTATAATAAAACTTCTAAAATAGAATTACGTTAAGAGAAAATTTAATAAAAATACATCAACTATGCAAAACTTGTCAAAAATATATAAAGAATAAAATAACTACTCTAAAATGTAAAAAATAATCAAAATTTAAAATTTAAAATCCAAATTACTACACACTATTTCGACCTTGTAAAAGTGATTTAACACTTTGGAGATTTCGGTTAGTAGATGCATCATCGCCACATCATACTATATTTTTTATACTTGGAAAACCTGTCATACAACCCTTTGGGTCGGACACCGAAACGTCTCACAGCCCTCCCTAAAAGACCGAACAAATGACACAGTATTGCATATAGTAAACTTCCACGGACCTACGCAACAGTCGGCACACATCATACTAATTTGTTACGTCATTAACAAAGAAAAACCTATATATATTTATATATATCTATTTCTAAAATTTTAAAAAAACAAACACTAAAAATCTAGAAATGTTATAATAAGTACAAACACTAAAAAACTAGAAGTATTGTAATAAGTACAAACCAATAAACTAGTCTTAGCTGGTCCAATAAAAAAAAACATAACTTTAAAATATGAATAAAAATATAAATATTAGACCACGAATCTTTTCTCTAACACAATATCAGAAGAAATTGTGCCGCATAATGATTTGGGTTTATATGACAGGAATCAAACCGAACGGAAAAGAATTGTGGAAAAACGGCTGCTTTCATTAATCGTAATACATCCCAATATATACAAGTAGAGTTTCAACCTAGATCAACTAACTATAGGAAACAAATCTGCTAATCGCAACAACTTCCTAAATCAGAAGATACGCGAATATATATATATGTATATACATTCCGTTACCCCCCCTCAAGTTGGAGCGTAGATGTCGTGTACGCCCAACTTGCGGAGAAAAATGTCGAATTCCTTCTTCCCAAGCGCCTTGGTGAAGATGTCTGCTAGTTGATGAACCGTGGAGACATGTCGGGTCAGAATGTTTCGGTTGGTGAGGTGATGTCGGAGAAAATGGCAATCAACCTCAATGTGTTTCGTGCGTTCGTGAAACACGCCGTTGGAAGCAAGTTGAATTGCCGATTGGCTGTCACAATGTAGCACCATGGGTGCGTCATGGGTAACACCGAGTGTGTTGAGTAATCCCTTTAGCCACAGAAGTTCGCATGTTGCCACCGCCATTGCTCGATATTCAGCCTCCGCGGATGATAACGAGATTGTGTGTTGACGCTTTGATTTCCAAGAAATCGGAGACTGTCCGAGATGTACGAGCCAACCCGATAGAGATTTGCGAGATGTCGGACATCCCGCCCAATCTGAATCACACCAGCCATAGAGACGAAGATCTGAATCTGCGCGGAGTAAGATGCCTTGGCCGGGATTGCGTTTCAAATAACGTACCACACGGAGGGCCGCTTCCCAATGTTCAAGTTTCGGTGCCTGCATGAACTGAGAAAGTATGTGTACTGCATATGTGAGATCAGGGCGTGTTGCAAGTAAATAGATCAGGCGACCCACAAGGCGCCTGTATTTCTCAGGATCGGGAAGAGGCGCGGTGGTGGTGAGTGCCAATCGGTGGTTTTGTTCAATTGGAAAGTTTGCTGGTTTTGCTCCCAAAAGGCCGGTCTCTGCTAATATGTCTAGTGTATATTTCCGTTGGCAAAGCGAGATCCCAAGTGGTCCTCTGGCAACTTCGAGTCCAAGAAAGTATTTGAGAGGGCCAAG